GTTGACTCCCAAGCACGCTGGCTTCGTTCACACTGTACTTTTCTTGACCACGAAGAAATCTCCTTTAATTGATTACAACTGTCCACCTCCTAAGTCTCTACTTGGAGTGCAACTAGCTGGTCAACGGGGGACGATTGCTTCCCTTTTGACCTGCCAGCGCGCTCCTTATATACTCCAGGAACCCCTATCTATGTTTTACATGTGTTTTAATGCGGGATACTTCGGTCCAAATTACAAATATGAAATTTAATGAACGTGTGGTATATTTTGTAGTCTATCTCTGTGAACACTACAGATTTTGTAGTGTCGCGTCTTTCATTTTCAAACGCATCAAGTGTTTGATGCGTACGCGGAGTTAGCCGACGTAGCTATTCTTAGCTTGGCATGATCTCGCGTGTTTCTTTCTATGGCCCGGTTTACCGGTTTGACAGATGACATCACAAAATGATTAACGTTTCCTGATGCGTTGATGCGCATGCGTACGCGTTTACCAATAGTCTTCGGCCTTCCGTCGCTTCCGAGTTTTTAATTAAAATGCCTTGTCTTGGCTCGTCTTTTCATTACGGAGGTCGGGAGACACTCCGAAGGTGTTTTCAAATGTCTTTCTTAATTGTCAGGGGGTTCTTATTATATTTCATATAATAGAATGTGTCTTTTTCTCATGTTTGTACTTGTGACGTTCAGACGCATCAGTCTTTGATGCATACGCGGGAACTGCCGTACATGACTTTCTGAATGGCCGGGAGCCACGCTAAGTCTTCATACGTTTACTACCTAGGTGTAGTTTAGTCTTTCCATGTTTCAGACATGCCGTTTAAGCGTCTATGTCGTCTTTTCTGTATTTCTTGTATAAGCACGAGTTTTCACAATAAATCCATTATGTGTTTCTAAACCCTTTGGTAGTAATGCAATTCTTCTCCCTGCGTTGGGTGTTTACTCTAGAACCTCTTCGTGCTCTATTTCATGGTAGGTGAATCTTAGATAGGATCCAAGTATAATGTCACGACGCGTACTGCTGCCAGTTCCAAA